CAATTTCGACGTCAGGGTTGACAACACCGATGTCAGACTGGCTAGATGAGTTGCTAGCAGGACCGTCGACAACAGGAGCCTCATTCTTGGAGCTCTCAAGGATGCCGAAGGAAAAAGAGGATTTTCCGGACAGAGCTTCGGCATCGAGGGCCGGGCCCTCAGGGACCTCCATGACAGCAAAGACGGGAGTGTTACCGTAGTTAATGTCGATTCCGGAGTTCCAGCCGGCATTGTTCATGCCCATGCTAGACGGGTCCATACCCTGGTTGGGAACCAAGACCATGTTGGGCTGGGGGTTCTGCTGCATTTGGAACTCTTGGCCATGGTTCGCGTTCGTGTCCTTGGGCATAGCCTGCATGTTGGGCTGGGGTGCAGCCTGCTGAGCTTGTTGCTGCTGTTGAGGTTGCTGCTGGGTTTGCTGCTGTGGTTGAGCGGGCATAGTCTCGCCCATGTCGTTCAGGAAGTTGGAGAAGTGAGGAGATCCTAGAAGCATGCGAGCCAAGTCGTTCAGGCGGGCATTTTCTTCATAAAGAGCACGGTTCTGGAGGCGAACCTCGTGGGCCTCGTTGGTTCTAGCGGCCACCTCGCTTTCAAGCTGACCAATGTATTCTAGTGAGAGGAGTTAGCAAAAAAAAAAAAACAAGACATTACATATGTATCCAAGGGTTCGGATAGTCATACCCTTGCGACGAGATCGGAAAGCACGGGCGGAAACCTTGTTTCGCAACTGGCGGCGCTCTTTGCTGCTGAGCTTCTTACCCTCCTCGCTAGCGAGAAGACGCTCATCTTCATCCATATCAGCCTCGTCCTTTCGGGCCTTGGCCATCTGCGGCATGCCGTTCGAGGGACTGGGGGAGCCCTCGCCATTAGCCATGGCATTCTGTCGCATCTGTTGAAGTAGACGAGAGATACGCTCCTCGACCACCGGGTCAGGGTTGCGGGGGCCACGGAGCTGAGGCATCGCACTAGGCACTTGATCTGGACGCTGCTGTACCTGATGGCGGACCATCTCACCTTGCTTTTGTTGCTGGGCCTTGGCCATCGCAGCCTGCTGCTGATGCATGCCGGGATACATACGACCGACCTGTGTGGACGGACCAGCCTGAGCCAGCTCATGGCCTCCGAGAGCGTTGGGATCGATATATTGGCTCTTGTTCCCAGGGTTCGCCGGGTAGAAGTATGGCGGGGGATTCATGTTCTCGGGTTCGATTTCCATCTCTGACGGGTTCCGGCCCGGCGCGGTGTTGAAGTCGAATTGTGCGTCCTCTCGCTTCAGATGATGACCAGCATATATCTCGGCGTTCACAGGAAATCCTTGACCGTTGTTGAAGCCCATCGGGACCTGGCTATAGGACATGGACAAAGCACCGGGCGGGAGACCAGTCTGTTGTCTGTGTTCGTCGTACTGGTGGCTAGGGGCCTGGAATGCGAGAGGAGATTGGCCACTTGAGGCAAAACTAGCACTGCGGGCGTCACTAGCACTGAATTCGGCGCTTGCGACCGACGGTTGGCTGACCATGACCTTTGAGCGGGAGGGATCTGATGTGTAGGTGAGCTGATCGAAGTTGATGAATGAGTCGAGATCCTGGTCATAGTTGGCAGCCGGTTGCATCGGATGTTCTGCGAGAGTCGCCATGGTGATCTGAATAGACCTGTCCCTCGACCGTGTTATAGGGATAGGTTAAATTTGGCGTGAGATATGGCGTGAGATAGGGGGGATATGTTATAAGAGTGTATGTTGATATAGATTGAAGGAGATGTTTTAATAAAAAGAGGGAAAATATAATAATAAAAGATCCGAAAAACGAAGGTCTAATAGGATATGGATTTGGATCTAGATGGATAGTGGAAATTGGAAGTGAAATGGGGGAAAGGGACAAAGTGTTCCGGAATAGCAACAGGAGATTGCGCGTCCTTTCTGACTCAGCGGTGGCCTCAAGAATGCAGCCCCGCCATTGGTTGGATTTTCACTCGATGGGGGCTTGTTTACCATACCGTATCCAGGGAATATTTCAACATTTGAAGATGTTCAGATCTATAACAGATATATCAATTGATATGTATAATTTGTACTTTATCTACTACTTGTGCTAAATCTATTGTTCAAATATGTATTTCTCCAAAGCCTTATGTGTGATAGTCTGTTATATATTCCATAATCACCCTACTCTCATGTTAATACTTTTACCGGTTCATATCTTGGGAGTGGGCCAATCTCAGGGCAGGAACCATCCAATCCCATTGGCTATCGGGTCACATTTAGGGCTCGGACTCGGAGTTACTGTACGCGTATGGTATTGTAATTGTACCTTTTTTCCCCAAGGTTGTCCCCTTCATGACGCAGGTGGCTGTGTTGTATCTCTGTTTATCGATTGCCCACTTTGGTCAAAGAACATGCATTCCTATTGATCTCAATGTTAGGAGCTAAAGATAAGCCAAAAAAAAGTTCAGTATAGTTAGGACCTGAAAGTTCAATTTGCAATTTTCAGGGGGAAAAAAATTAACCTACATATGTACCAACCTTGTTCAGACTAAGAGTGGCTATCACCGCAACTAGTGGCTTTCGGGGATGAGCCAATTATTTCGAGTAGCTCAGGCACAATACATATCAGATAATGCGCTAAACAATGGGTTCTCGTATTCTGGACATCTTTACATATGTACGACATACTTCGTACGACATACAATAGTTTTGTGTACAATATACATTGACATGTTGACTCCCTATGTCCTCCATAAACAATATACATACATACTCATATACCAAACAGACAGTAATCCAGGGTTCGTTTTCCCATATTCCCCTCCCATATATTGACCTAAGAATCACGAATCACTCGTTTCATCAAACCCACCACGTACGCCAGCGTCTCGCCAGGCCATACACAGCCAACCAACATTAAAGCCAGCGCCCCTGTACCAGATAAACCACGGCGAACCAGTCAGAGAAGTAGATCGGCAAGTCCATCGTCTCATACTCCTGAGAATCACAACAAGGTTTTCTAAAGTTGAAGCGGGTCGGCCACCAAGGATTATTCTAGAGAATGAGTTAGATATTCTCGGTGGACTTCCGTGCACGTGAAGAGATAACCTATACCTAATATGGTTAGCATCTCCGACTCTATCAACACTAAATCTCTTCCGCTCTTTTTAGGTGTGGACTCAACCTCGGAGATCTCGGTTTCACATCAAATTCATTAAAATATGATATGGATCTAACATTACTTTCAAGGTTCCATCCACTTTCACTAAAGGTGGCGCCCTAGAACCTTCTTTTTTTTCTATAGACTTGCCTAATTCGATCGCCCCTGAAGCTTACCTATGGATCTTTTGATTTCCAAAATTCCAAGGTTTACTCTAAATCTCGACTCTTCGGCAGCCCGCTTTTTTTGTTTACTATGTACAGAGTAGGGCTCGAATTACAATTATTCCCCAGGCCGCGTGGAGTGACTGCAAATGCGAGGCTGAGCTAATTCTGCGCCTCAATGCCATAACGACTGCATATGTAAGGCTTTTTACTTTTTAAAAATAGACACTGGAAAAACTTTAGGCATTTTACTCAGGTCAATAATGATACATAAGCAATAATAACTGCCTTCGAGTCAAAGGATTTTCCATTTTTGAAGTTTCTGCAAGAGTGGCGTTGTGCGGATCTATCAAACTGTCCCCGAGTCCCAAACAGTGGATCTAGCCCTGGAGGGCATGGCCTCCATCTCCGTCCAGGCTCCAATAATTACTCCCTTGGTAATCGAGCATATTTGCCTGCATTTCTTACGTTACGCTACATATCTACGCCTCGATATTTTCTGATGCGATCACATAGGTCTAGACTAAATCTCTTCTCTCGACCCCATTGTCTGGTTGTCTGACGACTCCTACTAACAAGATCCACCATGCCCTGATCTCCCGGATCTTTAAGCCTCATGTCCCTTTACTATAAACTCTGGCAACGGGTGCATTTTTTGGTTGTCTGACGACTCATCCCAGACCCCAAATTTGAAATAAGGGTGGGCGTGTTCGAGACTCTTGAACCCTGTCCAGATGCCGTAGACCTGATATTAAGGTCCAGATCTACCAGATTACACCTTATCATAGACAATAAGTCCACGGATAGAAAAAACTTCGGTTGTGGCGCAATTCCAACCCATTAGCCTGGAAATCTCAATTCGGGTCTGGACTTTCTTGGAAGGTTGCCTTGTTCAAGTATTCGAGGACTTGACCTAGTCTTCTCCAGACCCTAGGATCCGGAGTAGAATAATCACATGTCGCTATGAAATTTTACTTTTTATGTGGATTTGGGAGATAATGAAGTCGCACGGTATCACTATAATCAGGGCCCTTGAAAAATGTAGATCTTAGCGTTCTCCAGTGTGCCTGAGGAACTAATAAAATATACATAAATGATATCGTATTGCTTATTAAAACTCTCGATGCTAATGCTTGGTTACTATGTTCTTTCTGAGGACCTAAAAGAAAGGAAATAACTATTTCTTGTGGTGCCGAGATACACTGTTCCCTCAATATATATTTTCAGTTGAATAAACCACAATGACACACAGAAGCCAAGAACAATGAGTCACAGCGAAATTATACAGCATAGGTACTCCGTACTTGTGTACGACTTCTCATGATTTACTGAATGCATAGTAAATTATATAGTAAAGTGCGAGCACAATCATGTCCAAGAACTACGCCAAGGAATGTGAGTAATTGCCTCAGGCATAAAACTATTCCTCTTTTGGACCCCGATCCCAGAATGGTCGTCAAGTAACATTCGATTTGTTCACATTTGTTCACCTTTGATTCGATGACTCGAGAAATAATAAGTCCAATGGAACCATAGTGGCGCATTTGGATTCTTCAAAGGGGCCCTTGCTAATTGTTCTATATATGAACCCGCCCGAACCAACTTCGGTAACTGCGGTGCTTCAGATATCCAACACTTGAATCCTGCCAAAAACCACTCAAGATTCAAGAGATCTAACTAATTTGGCGAAATCATGACATCCGCCCCGACAATTCTAGCAACGTGCAAGCAGACACGGTTTCATCTGCTAGATGATAACCCTTCGCAGGAGGTATGCGTGGTCACAACAACGATCTAGACGATCACTAACGTTGAAATTTGTTCTACGGACAGATTGATGTGGATGGACTCAACATAATCGTCACATCATCGACACTTGAATCCACTGAAGATGTATCAAAATCAAAGTCTAAAGGGAAAACAAAGCCCAAGGCTGCAGGGAGAGAGCTCATCTCAGACGCGCACCTGCGACTCAAGGCAGGCATTCACTATGGGTTGCTAGGTCGTAACGGAACAGGGAAGTCAAGTGAGACAGACCTCCGCAAGTACCATTTAAAAAACTCAGTATATTGATGATACCAGCGCTTCTTCGGGCAATGGCAGAGAAGCTCATCCCTGGCATCCCGCATGCGACCCGCATGGCAATTTTGCAGCAGACGGACGAACAGGATGACAAAACTTTTGGTGAAGACCCTAACCAAGACAAAACTGTCTTGGAAGCCGTTCTCAGCGGCGATGAAACTAGGAATGAGGCTGTTCGAATGGCCGAATGTTAGTATACCTATTCAATTGGAATTGTACTTGACTGACCTTACAAGTTCTATCGAAGAGCTTTGAGACTGAAGATCCAATGCAACCCGTGAGTGCAATCCGCAAGATCCGGCATCAGAAAGCAGAAAAGCATCTCTTTCTGGCACACAAGAATGCAAGCCTGAAGAGCGGTGCTCGAGGTCTACAAGCAAGAAAAGATTTGAAGGCGGCCGAAGGAAAGCTCGAGGTTGCATCGGAGATGTCAGTTGCATTCATTCACGCTAGTGAATATATCTAACTTCTGCTAGGTTAGCTCAGGATGTGGACGCCATCGATGCGGAGACAGTCCAGTCGGATACCCAAGCGGCCGTCGAGACACTACAAAATTTACAGTCTCAACTTGAAGATGTAAGACTTCATACGATGACCATTCGCCTGCTCTATTAACCTGAAACCAGATGAAACTTGCCGATATGGAGCAACAAGCTCGTCGTATTCTCATTGGTCTCGGCTTCAAAGAAGATGGATTTGGGAAGAAAGTCTCTACGCTGTCAGGTGGTTGGCGTATGCGATGTATGCTGGCCAGCGTCCTAGTCCAAGATCCCGACATTATGATCCTCGACGAGCCAACCAACTTTCTGGATCTTCTGGGAGTAGTGTGGCTGGAGAACTACCTGAAACAACTCCGCGACACATCACAGACAACCATCGTCTTAGTCTCACACGACAGGGATTTCATCAATGCTGTCTGCGAAGAGATTGTCATCCTCCGAGATCAGAAACTGACATATTTCCGAGGGAACCTGTCTGCATACGAGCAAGATTTCGAGGAGCAGAAGGTTTACCTGGGGCGCATGAAGGAGGCTCAAGAGCGGCAGGTTGCACACATGGAAGCTAGTATCCGGGAGAATATGAAGATTGGGAAGAAGACTAACGACGAAAATAAGCTGCGACAAGCTAAGTCGCGGCAGAAGAAAGTCGACGATCGGATGGGTCTTCAAGTTAGCGCGAACGGAGGCCGTTTTAAACTGAACCGTGATCTGGTCGGATATCATCTCCATAGTCGAGCTGAGATCGATGTTCCCACAGATGAAAAGGGCGCGACTATGAGTTTGCCCGATGCGACAGAGTTGCGGTTCCCCGGGCCATTGGTATCGCTTGAGGGTATTGTTTTCCAGTACAAGAAAACCGACCGTGTCATCCTAGATGACGTGAACTTGGTTGTTCACCTAGGTGATCGTGTTGGGATTATGGGTCTCAATGGCTCGGGGAAGACAACTCTGCTCCGTGTTATGACGGGACAGGTAGCTCCTTCTAAGGGCAAGGTGTCGACTCACTCCCGGCTGAAAGTGGGCTACTATAGCCAACACTCCGTGGAAGAGCTGCAAGAGCGTGGCCGAGGCGAGTCTAGTTTGACTGCGCTGGGATTGTTGACGACTGAGACCGAAGGATCCCTGAATGAGGGCGCTATTAGAGGTCTACTTTCTTCAATGGGGTTAGCAGGTCGTATTGCATCTGATGTCCCTGTTGCTAAACTATCAGGTGGACAACTGGTATGTGAGATGTGAAAGATCAACGTGGAACATTTGACTAATAATATTGCCAAATTTAGGTCCGCCTTGCATTAGCTCGAATTGTCTGGAGTGCACCACAGCTTCTCATTCTTGATGAAATCACCACGCATTTGGATTTCCACACCGTCACTGCATTGGCTACGGCTCTCTCCTCCTTCAATGGTGCTGTGCTACTAATTTCACACGATCGTTTCCTTGTCCGATCAGTAATTGAGGGCAAGCGAGACACTGAGCACAAACTTGATGAGGATTTCGAAGGACTGGAGGAGGAAGAGACCGAAGAAACACCAAGGCGTCGGTCAGTGTATGTGATTAAACAGGGCAAGATGACCGAACAGAAGAATGGAGTAGAACAGTTCGAAAAGAGCCTTGTAAAGAGGGTACAGAAGTTGTTACCGGCTATAGATTAGTTGATGCAATGACTCCATGACCAATTGAAGTGATTAATGACCAAATTTGGGAATTTCCAACCTTCCAAGGTGGAAGATATCATGACTCAGCACGGAGCCCGCCGAGAGGCATGTGCGATAAGACATTCCCCTCATTCCTCCGCGGAGTAACATTTGGATATATTTGCCTCCCAACATGCACCATTTTACCCCTTGAAAGAACTTCCTCATGGCTGGCTTGTGCAAGCGGATCTTGTCTTGCCCTAGGGTTGCCCGTCAATGCGGCATACAGACTCGACTTCAGAGCACTCGCGCCGCATCACCTACTGCCGCCGTCGCCGCCCCCAAGTTACCACCTCCGCATTCCCCGACCGTATCTTCTAAACTGTCAACACTCAAATCTGCGAAGCCCTTTTCCGCATTCCTCACCGATAATTTCAATCGCCAACATGACTATCTCCGCATTAGCGTCACGGAACGGTGCAATCTTCGATGCTTGTACTGTATGCCCGAGGAAGGCATAGACCTCTCCCCCCTCTGCAAAACTGCTTACGTCGCCGGAGATTTTATACCTGTCCTCGCTATTCGTCTCACAAGGTGTGACCAAAATCCGATTGACGGGTGGGGAACCGACAGTCCGCAAAGACATCGTGCCGCTGATGCAGGATATTGGCAAGCTACGAGCCAATGGGCTTCGGGAATTATGTTTGACAAGCAATGGGATCTCATTACACCGAAAATTGGACGCAATGGTGGAGGCTGGGCTGACAGGAGTCAATCTCAGCCTCGATACGCTTGATCCGTTCCAGTTCCAGATCATGACAAGACGCAAGGGATTCGATGCTGTGATGAAGAGTATCGACCGCATTCTCGAAATGAATAAGGTTGGTGCGGGAATCAAGCTGAAGATCAATTGTGTTGTTATGAGGGGGAATGAACGACCGAGAGATCCTCCCGTTCGTGGAAATGGGCCGTGATAAACCGGTTGAAGTGCGCTTCATAGAGTATATGCCTTTCGGCGGGAACAAATGGAATCAGGGAAAGATGTTCTCGTACCAGGAGATGCTAGCTGTCATCCGAGAGAAGTACCCAACATTCAAGAAAGTGGCCGACTACAAAAATGACACGAGTAAGACATACCGTGTTCCTGGGTTCGAAGGCCGCGTGGGATTTATCACGAGCATGACACACAACTTCTGTGGTACTTGCAACCGGTTACGCATTACTAGCGACGGGAATCTCAAAGTCTGCCTGTTCGGTAACTCCGAGGTCTCCTTGCGGGATATCATTCGCAAGGAGAATGGTGGGAATCCAATTGACGTGGACACAATGAAAAACCTGCAGCTGTTGGAAACAGTACAAAGAGCAGCACGCCTTAGTGACGAAGGCGGCTTGGTGAATGAGCGAGAACGTGAGATTCTTGATATCATTGGCATGGCGGTGAAGCGAAAGAAGGCAAAACACGCCGGCATGGCGCAACTAAAGGACATGAAGAACCGCCCTATGATATTGATTGGTGGGTAGCTGTTTCTTTCTTTCTTTTCATGATTGGAGACGCTTTATGAATATTTCTTTTGGACTTCATGGAAGTAGCGACTTCTTACTTGATACCATGTATACATGCAATTAATGTATTTGGACCTTGTTTATTGAATCATCAGGCTGATAGATGAACTAGATAATAAACCCAAAACTTTGTGGTCAGCGTCTCACTCGTGGTCAAACATACCAGTAAATATGCTTTCGAATTTCCCTACAGCTTCCCAAAGTCGTCTCTACCACTCTGGACGCTCTGAATCAGAGACGAAAGATTGTGTTACTCGCCCATCTCAGTCTCTACCCACCACCTCAGACGCCGACCTCCCTCACCTCACACCATCGAAGACCGTGCACATGACCCAGATCACCGAAAAGCCCGAAACAAAGCGCCTCGCCACAGCGGCCTGCACTGTCTCCTTCTCAAACCCACGACCCTGGGAAATTCTCGGCAAAGGACAAATCACACACAAAGGCGACGTCTTCAGTGTTGCTCGCATCGCGGGTATTATGGCTGCCAAAAGAACGCCTGATATTGTGCCCCTTTGTCATCCTGGCATTGGCATTACCGGGGTCGAGGTCAGTGTGGAACTGGTCGAACCCGGCCAGAACAGGGATCACGGCGCCATGCATGTCGTGGCGTCGGTCACCTGCTTTGGTCGCACAGGAGTGGAAATGGAGGCTATGACGGCTACTATAGGCGCAGCTTTAACAGTTTATGATATGCTCAAGGCTGTAGATAAGGGGATGGTTATTGATTCTGTTAGATTGTTAGAGAAACAGGGTGGCAAGAGTGGACATTGGGTGCGGGAATAAAAACTTGGTATAGAGTATATGTATACACATTTAGGCATTATATTGCTGTGTATTATCTAGACCCTCTAATTAAATATTCATGGATAGGAGATTTACTACATATGTGCATACATAGTATGTAGTCTTAATAGGCCCAATAGGGTACATCTTCCCATCTTCCAAATTCCAATATGCGATCAGCCCTAATAACCGTTTAAATTCTCCGAGACTTAGCGTATTTTTTTTCTTTTTTTTTTCTTTGATAATAATCAATGATCTTTTATATTTATTGATCATATAGTGGTGATGATTTTTTTTTTCTATATTCCTTCAAGGCGCATGTGGCTATGGCCAGGCCATGTAAGAAATTTCGGAGCCCACAGACTCACAGACTCTCGAATCAGTTTAGCTTTTCGAAGTTTTGCATCTCTTTCCTTTTCTTCCCTCCTATGTAAGTCTTATAGATACTTCTGTGTGCGTTAATCGTGTCAGTTCGAGATATATCGTGCTGCGTGGGTTTTGAAAATCCTGCAAAAAGGAAAAACTTTCATCATTACATCGACAACGCCGCAACGCCGCAACGGTAAAGAATCCACACAACACGGGACTGCACTTTATCAATGGATCCTGGCGAATTTTGTCGCGCAAATTAAAAAAAAAAAAATGCATGCATTGCTGATCTGTACGTACATCTGGGCTCCTTGCCTATATCAAATTTAACTAACCACTTTATACAGTCCGCAAGTGGCGGAGCAAGATCGGGAACGCCATACTGGCAGTGCTCCCACCCTTGAATTTCTTGACGCTACACTATTTCTATTTCATCGCTACATGCATGATCGCCAGTATCATATTTTACTTGACATCGACGCCATGGCGCAGCGTTACCTATGTGGACTCGATTTTCATGTGTGTCAGTGCCATGACTGGTGCCGGATTGAATACGGTATGGACTGGGATCCTATGTATGGCTATGTTCAATGTTGTAAGCTAACTAGATGATCAGGTGGACCTGTCGACTCTGAACAGTTTCCAACAAGCAGTTTTGTTTACCCTGCTTATCCTGGGCCATGCTATTCTCATCTCCCTCACTGTACTTCTAGTACGTAAGAGAGCTTTCGAGGCAAAGTTCAAGGGCGTCTCCGATGAGCGGGAAAGAGAGCAGTCTACTCGCAACCACTCCGAAGTTGAAATGCAGGCTAGGGACCGGGGAGCCGTGCACGGAAGTATCGGGGCTGATCTACCGAGCGAGAACACTGAAGGACACGGCTGTAAACCACACCCAAAGCCATCCGTGTTGGTCCAAGTGACTCCAGGGGAGTCGTCATCCCGCGATGAACACCTATGGGTGGACGACGATCAAATAACAATCGGCGGCACACCCTGCCGTCATAATCATCACCACCGAGTCTTCCCCATGGCTGGCATCGGGGCGAGACCGGACCTGCATAACCACCCCCGTGACGCAGCGCCCAATGTTCCTTTGGTCACAAAGGATTCAGTATCTGGCTTCAGGGGAATTCTCCGCGGTACACAGAAGTATATGGCCTCTAAGGGACTGTTGTCCCGCAACTCCCAGTTCCATGACCTCACTGCTGCTGAGCGCGAGGAACTAGGTGGCGTGGAGTATAAGGCCGTCTCACTTCTCTCTGTGGTTGTGTCCCTTTACTTCATCTTGTTTATTATGTTCGGCATAATCGGTGTCGGTTGCTGGCTAGAAGTCAACGATCCCGCGGTGACGCGCACGAACGGCCTCTCGCCTTTCTGGACGGGTGCTTTCTTTGCTGTTTCTGCTTTCGTGAACAGTGGCATGTCGCTCCTGGATGCTAATATGACTGCTTTGCAGTTGAAGTGGGTGGCCTATATCCCTCATGTTTCAATACTCAAGCTTGCTGACTACTCTCTAGGGCTTACCCACTTCTTACAATGGGATTGCTCATTCTCGCTGGAAACACCCTCTTCCCATGTTTCCTGCGGTTTATTATCTGGACCATGAGAGTCATGCTTCCAGATCTGCCGAAATGGCAGTCATGGCGCATAACCCTTGATTTCATCCTGGAACACCCTCGAAGGGTAAGTCAAGTTGCACTACTCTAGCTTGCAGAATATAGGCACTTATCATGAAGCTAGGTCTATACGAATCTCTTCCCTGCTCGCCATACGTGGTATCTACTCGGCACGATCATCATTCTGAACGGTGTCGACTGGGCGGCATTTGAGTTGCTGTCCATTGGAAACAAGGACATTGAGAGTCTGCCTACCGAATACCGTGTGTTGGATGGACTGTTCCAGGCCCTAGGTTTGTCGTCCAATATCAACAACAGCGGCGTATCTGAACCAAGCTAACAAATTATCTCGACTAAAGCGGTACGCGCTGGTGGATTCTACGTTGTAACCATCGCCGATCTTCACCAGGGTCTCTTGGTTCTCTATGGTAAGTGCTTTCAATATCCTCGACTGAAAGATCATCATGCTAACAGAACATCTAGTACTCATGATGGTAAGACATATCAGTCTCATACACCCCATACCCCAGTCCCAAGCTAACTCCTCACTCAGTACGTTTCTGCGTACCCAGTAACACTTACAATGCGGTAAGTAACCTATGAGCACAACCCACGCCGAAGAAACCACAATCTAACAACCCACACAGCAACACAAACGTCTACGAAGAACGTTCGCTAGGAATCTACGCGCACGACGAAACACCCGACTCACCAGCAAACACAAGCCGCAGCAACGTAGTAATGGACCTAATCCGACACCACCTCGGTCGCCCAGGCCCGTCCGAGACTTCTCGTGGCTACTTCCTGCATCAGCAGCTCCGCTCCCAGCTTAGCCATGATTTGTGGTGGATTGCGCTGGCAGTCTTCTTTATTGCCATCGCAGAGTCAGATCACTATGACCCCCAACCTGTGGCTTTCTCCACCTTCAATATTATCTTCGAGGTCGTCTCCGCTTACGGTTGTGTGGGTGTTAGTGTTGGCTTCCCTGGGAAGAATTATTCGTTCTGTGGTGCGTGGCATACTATTAGCAAGTTGATCCTTGCTGCTGTGGCTTTGCGTGGTAGGCATCGTGGTTTGCCGGTGGCTATTGATAAGGCTATAATGTTGCCCAATGAGTCTTTGGCTTGGGCTGAGGAGGAAGATGCTGCTATGCGGAGGGATAGGTCTAGGGTTTGGGCTCAGGAGCGTGGGCCTGTTGGGTCTGTTTAGATGGTGATTTTTTATATACCCTCTTTGTTCGCTGCTTTATTGTTTAGAGTATTTTAGAGAGCGTGGATTTATCAGACTCATGATGATATTTGGAGTTTTGAAGATAAATGATTCTTTTGTAGGACTGGGTAACTACCCATGGTGTATCCTAATAAACAAAGTAGACATATGCAATAACCGTGTGAAGTAGATGGACATGGGCATGGGCAAGGAGATATACAAATTAAACAAAAATTAGACGATCTACTCGTCCTCCATCTCCATCTCATCTTCATCTTCACTCTCGATCTCAGCTTCCTCCTCGCTCTCCAATTCCTCCTCACCCTCATCCTCGCTGCCTTCATCACTGCCAGCAACACCACCCATCTCCTCATCCTCTCCACCGTTCTTCTTCGCCTCCTCTCTCCGCTTCTCCTCCTCTCGGCGACCCTCTTCGAGGACAGCAGCACGCTCCTCGCGCAGCTTGCGCTGCGTCTTAACGAACGCACCGACAGGAGTACTCTCCCAGTCAACATCCTTGAGGAAAGAATCGACGTTAGAGCGGTTTCGGGGAGCATATGAGACGTTCATACGACGCTCCTCGATCCAGCGGGCATTGGCCTCGACCTTTTGCACGAGCAGCATGATCATCTGGTTGACCTTCGCGTTCTTGTTTCCACCGCTGCGGGCAGAGACCTGCTTCAGCCAGCGCTTGAGGGAGACAACGACGGGCACGGACAGTTCCGGGAACGCAATGTGCTTGGACCACAGGACGAAGAACTCGGAGAGGAGCTCGGCGACCTGCTCACCGACGCCGTCCTGATAAGTGCGCGAGCGCAGGTAGGATTTGGGCGCGCGGATCGCTGTGTTGAAGTCCAGGGGCTTGAGGGTGCTGGACTTAGGGTGCTTGCGCATCTCTGCTGAGGTCAGGACCTCGAGAAGTGAAGCTGAGAGCGGGATATAGGTGCCTGTGGCGCGCGAGATGCGGAGCAGGGAGCGCGTCAATTGGAAGCGTAGGGGGAAGTATGTGGCAGTAGGAATAAGGCGCATGGCGCCCAGGGTGATCTGCACAACGGGGTAAATGAGAGGGCGCAGAGCGGACTGCTTGCCGACTTGAGCCTCGACAAGGCCATCGCAGTGCTGTGAAAGTACTCGGGACCAGAAGTCCAGCGAGTGCACGTATTGCCAGTTATAGATGGTCTTGTAGGACTCCTTGGAGGTGTTGGTAATGCTCTTGCGCAGGTGCATAGCCAGCTGACGGATGAAGGAGAATCCTGCTGTGTATGAGACGTTCTGGTCAATACCCCAGATTTCGGCTGCAGAGTTCTTCATCAAGTTCACGCCTGCTAGTGTGTGCACTGTTGTGTTGCGGCTACCCTTGACAACACCCTCGTAGGTGGCCTTGAGCACACTCTCCTTGATACCAGCATCTCCCAGAACCATAAGGCGTCGCAGAATCAAGAAACCTGTGATACGGGTGGCATCGGCCGTGGAAACATCAGACCAAATTCCGACGACAATCTTAACGAGTGTCTTCAACACCTTACGGAACTGAAGAAGGTAAGGCAGCATAGGTTCAATTGACGCGAGGGTCAACTTGAGTGTCGATGCGTCGGACAAGTTAAGCAGAAGCTGGTGAACCGAAGCAGTGTGCGATTTGATCAGAGGTGTGAGGGTCTTGAACTTCTTGGTCTCCAATGACACTCTGATCTTGCCCGAAGCACTCTCCTTTACAGGGAGATGATGGGCCAGGACCTTGGGGATGGTGTTGAGGGCGGTGATAAGAACCTGGTGGTATACATTCTTGTCGGAAATGGTGTATTTTTGCTCGGGGGCATCGGGGTCATTGACATAGGCGGCCGCACGGAAAGCAAGCACAGCCTGGCGCATGGCTCTGATCGAGTTTTGCTCCTCCATCAAGGTCTGCCACTTCTTGACCATCGCAATAGTCAAGGTCTCATCTTCGGGCTCCTCCTCTTCCTTCTTGGACTTTCTCTTCTTCTTCTTGGCCGGTTCCTCGTCTTCGGGCTCTTCGCCTTCGCTCAGGGCGTCGACTTCTGAAAGGTCGCCTTGGTCGCCGAAATCGAGCAGTTCAGAATCGTTTTCCTTCAGGTATTTATAGAACTCGGGGTCCTTCTCCTTCAATGACTCCAGCTGGTCCTTGTGCTCGTCGTAAGCATCGACACTATCTGCGTCATCATTGTCACCCTCAGCCTCAGAAGCCTCAGCATCTGCCTGTGCCTTTTCTTCTGAGCGCTTGCGCTTGCCGATCTTGGGGGTGGTATCTTTCTTGCTGGCCTTCTTTCCCTTCTCCTCAGGAATGTCAAAGCCGCCAGCGAAGAAGTCGTCGACGTTCATTTCGGAAAAGGCATTTTCCTTCTTCTGTTCCTCGGGGTTCTTCTCTGCTGCGGCTTCGGCTTCAGCGCGGCGAGCAGCGCTTTTTTCCTTGCGCTTGTCATTCAATTGGTGTCTTTGCTTGATCTTGGCATGGGCCTTGCGTCGCTCAAGGACATCCGGGAGGTGGTTCTGCACGAACTTCTTGGTCGATTTTTTGCCTCCAACCATTTTGAAAGAGTGATGCAGAAAACAGTCTGCAAGTTGTAGCTTGGTCGGGAAATGGCTGGTCAAAAAAAAAATTGGGGAGAAAATCAGCGGGTCCGCCTTTCAGACCGCCTTTGGCATCGGGCGATAACGTCCAGACAATCTACAAGACAACAGACACCATTGAACCTCCGAACTTACGATTAACGATTTTTATTGTACATAGCGGGAATTTGCCAAAAATGTACTCACAGCGCCCACTCTCTTATGCGCCGACCCCCTACAGCTACACACCCAATCCCGCCCGGTCAGCCACAATCAACCTCGATGAAGTATGGATCCTTGTCTCTGCATTCATAATCATATTGTCTGATATCACTTGTCTTAGGAAGTCAAATTAGCATCTAGCTCAGTGGAACGTGACTTATACGAATCCCTAGCCGAAATCTACAGCATCATCGTGACCCTCGATGGACTGGAGAAAGCATACATCAAGGACGTAGTCACCGAGGCAGAATATACCGAGACATGCACAAGGCTATTGAAGCAATACAAGTCCAGTCTTGGGGATGAGACAGTATCGCGGGAGTTCGTGGACCTGGAGACTTTCAAACGGACGTGGGGGGTGAGTGTTTCTCTCCATTTTACCCCGCAAACTCCAATACATCTCTGACACCAGGTGGACAAAATAGCTAGAATGCCCACGAGCCACAGAGCGATTGCGCATTGGACTTCCGGCCACAGTTGAGCAGGCTTCTCACAGCGGACCAACCTCTAATATGGGCACAACAGCGACGGGTCCGGCTGGCGGTGCCTCGGGTAGTCTCATTCTGGCAGCAACTGAAAACTTCATCACCTTCCTCGATGCGTTGAAACTCAACATGGTATCGAAGGATGCATTACATCCACTTTTATCAGAGGTGATTCAGTCTGTGAACAAGGTCACAGATACCGATTTCGAAGACCGCGGCAAGATCATTCAATGGTTGATTGCATTGAATCAAATGCGAGCTACTGAAGAATTGAGTGAGGACCAAGCGCGTGAGCTTGCATTTGATATTGAACAAGCTTATCAAGGCTTCAAAGCAACATTGAACTGATTTGGGGAATCATTTTTTGGTGCACTGGCAAGGCGTTTAGATGGACAGTAGAGATACCATTGTGTTTTCGATATTAACATGATTTTCAGTGATTCCTAGCTTAATATACCCACTCTGGCTTGTCTTTGATCGAGTGTCCTTGTACAATTACAGCAATTAGGGCCACTAAGTGCTTAGGAAGAGATCTTGATGCCTGATAATCTAGGCTGAAATCGACCCGCGGAACGGCAGCGCTAGCCTTTCCTATTTGGGAATATTTTCTTTTTCTCCGCCACATTTTCGTCCGATTCTCCTGGCTATGAGGCCAATTCGTTGCTTTGTCTTCCTCTTCAGCAACACCTAGAATACATATAGCTATCACCATGATCAGTGCTACAGATGAGCCTCTCCATGGTTAGTTCATAATCTACCCCTCTGACCCATTTGGTCCACAAAAGATAATGGAGCTGATAAGCGCAGTACTCGATCTCCCGCAACTCTACCAGAAACCCTCGGGAACCGATCTTGTGAAAGCTTTGGCTCTGTTGAGCTTGCAGCCCCGCACATTTGGCACGACTGCTGATGTTGTCAAAGGCCCCGCGGTCCAGCCTGCAGGAGTGACTCGGTATCTCACATCCATTATCGCCAGTCCACTAGCATGGCTCGACACCGATGAACTCCGGGAGGCAATCTGGGATGCGGCCGCTGCACGGCTAAGTGAACGGTCTGGTCGAACCGGTAAGCAGGTCACCATCTATCCAACTGTGTTATCCCGCTGATCGTGACTCATTATCCACCAGCTATGCCCGCAATGTCTCGAATCTTCAACGTGCCTACCTCATCCGGCGAAGAATACACACTGACCCTTCACGAACCGTCAATCACAGCGGACAATCTCGGTATGAAGACTTGGGTATCTTCCTATCTTCTCTCGCGCCGGCTTCACACCCTTGAATCGCCACCAGCACTTGTTCCCTCGGCCTCGGCTACCACATTCAGCCCCCGGAAACCTTTGCGGGCACTTGAGCTCGGTGCCGGAACAGGTTTGGTCGGACTTTCCTTTGCGGCTTTGCAAGGTAAGTCTGCCACCGTCCACCTCACCGACTTGCCTGAGATCGTCCCAAATCTCGCTCACAACGCTGCCTTGAATGTGGAACTCCTCACCAGAACTGAGGCGACTGTGACCACTGGTTTGCTTGACTGGTCAGTCACGCCGTCGCCCCTTCCAACTGCGGAAGAGCAGTTTGATGTGATTCTCGCCGCGGATCCATTGTACTCGCCCAACCATCCCAAATGGTTGGTGGACACCATTAATCCCTGGCTTAGCCGTGGACTCGGTGCACGAGTCATGGTAGAAATGCCGCTCCGAGATGCATATCTGCCGCAGGTGAAGGAGTTCCGGCAGCGGATGGTCGAGTTGGGTCTGGCTGTGGTTGAGGAGGGCGAGGAGGTCGGTTACGATGACTGGGAGAGCGCAGATGGAGGCGCGCTGGCTGTCAACTGTTGGTGGTCAATTTGGGGTTGGAGTGAAAAGGTATAGTGGCAGTACTGCCACGTCGTGTGACCAAATGAAATGACGAATAATGAATGATATACGATAGATTAGAATAGTGATTCTTAGACGTTGGCTATTGAGCAATGCAAGTATCATGCATCTAATTCAGAGGGTCGTTAGTAGATATTATTTCGACTGTTGAAAATCAATTCCTGTGTCAATTTTTCATCAGAAATCGATTTGAAGGAAGATCGTTGGTTGACAGAAAAGAGGAGCAGGTCCATCACGTGCCAATGACGTCAGTGTCACTATTTCGATCAATTAATTTCTTTTTTTGGAGCATTTCCTATATATATCTCTTAAGGGTTCATGAATCCTAACCAAAATAATGATTTGCACAAGAAACAGATATTCCCTACCTTCATTTGGTCAGTCAAAAGCCCAAAATTATCCAATTAACAAGCAAATCCTAATGCGACAACAGACCCAAGTCCGGACCAAAACGCCACATGAATACCAGTTGCAAATTCCCGAAATCTAATATATAAAGGTGCTATTCGTAGCCGACCAAATCCCAAGGACCTAATTTGCAAGATAGTTGCATCCATATACCGATTGTGGTTCACTCTTCAGCCTTTGAACCCTCGGGCCCTCGAAGCGTGTACTACGGAAAACGTCACATACATACTACCTAATATCGCATACCCCACCAAACACCTGCACAATGATCGGACTTCTAGCCATCACCGCCATCCCAACAGTGACGGGTGTATCCCTCGCTTCCAGCGAGCAGCGCAAAGCAAACCAGCGCAGAGAAGAGGCCCGTCGCATGGTGAAATTCAACATGTTCGCAGAATGCAATGGGGACACAGATGATGACCGCGAGTTAAACGGAATGACTGTTGTTGTAAGGGATGAGAAGGTAAGGAACCCTAATTCAAACCAGATCAAGAGTCTGGAGATGTCATAGTCCCTCTGAACATCATAATCAAAGCCCAAATCGCAGAACTAGACTAACATAGTATTTACCCCCGCAGGTTTATCTCGCCGACCCAGATCCCGCCAAACGGTCCCCACCAGCCTTCACAGCCCTAGCCTTCTATATCGAATACCCAGAACCGGAAGAATTGAAATATCTCAAGCGCGAGCGTGGCCTCGGCCTCCCAACTTATGTGCAGGACAACCCGCCCCTTCTCAACTGGATCTACGCAGATACCGAAACGCATGAGCTGCGATACGGGAATCGGTCGCAGAGTGTGGAACAGCTGGTTGAGCCGTGGGACTGGTGTAAGAATGAGAGGATCATTTCGCTGGACAAGAAGCAAAATGCTTTCATTGCGGTTGAAGAAGAGGAGGGTGAATGGGCGCTTTATTATGATCGTGACGGCGATGAACTTGCGCGCGTTCTTGAAGAACAAGATTTGTTGGATTGCGCTTTCGTCCCTGTCACGCTGGTGAGGAAGGTTGTTGAGGAGAGACCGCCACCACCTCCTGCTGCTCAGGCTGCAGCTCCTCGGGGTCAGGGGAATGGTCAGAGCCAGAGGTAGATGGATTGGAGAGTGGGAGAAATATCATGAATGAGATGAAGGATTTTATGTGTACATATATACTTCATGAGATGAATTAATGCGTTTATGATATGATCGTAATTATGGGAATACCGCGGTAGCAACCTTGGAATAGTGTATTGTACAGAAGAAACTTGAGCATTTAATCATCCAATCCAGCCCAACTTCCGGTATCGCTGACGTTGCCGCTAGCCGCTGCTGCTGCCTTCCTGTTGCGACTAGCCTCAATAGCGCCCCTTTTGTTATTCTCCATGCGGCGTTCAAAGCCACTCTTGGTACTGATTCTCATACCATGAGCGCCCTTTCCATCATCATTCTTATCGGTCAATCTTGGGGCCTGGCGCGCCTTGACACCATGCCTCTTCATATCCTTCTTGCTGTTCTTGCTCAGGTTCGGGAGAGCATCGAGCAGCCATTTCTGGATGGATTTGTCGCCTTCTTCGCCGCCGCGTAGCTTCTCGCTGACGTCGATGATGTTGGCAATACTCTTCACATAGGGAATGTCTTCCTTGGTGTAGTAGGTGACGGCGATACCGCCCTCGCGACCAGCACGACCAGTTCGCCCCACGCGGTGGACATAGACGGCGGCCGAGTTAGGGATATCGTAGTTGACCACACCGTTGATACCGCGGAAGTCAACACCGCGGGCTAGCAGATCCGTTGTAACCAAAATCCAGATCTCGCCTTTGCGGAAACCGCGCATGATATCGGACCGCTGGCCATCTGAGAGATCGGAGTGAAGAACGGCAATACGTGAGGATCCACCTGCTTCGGCGGGAATATCGTATTTGAGTTCGGAGTGTAGGGCTATCGCGCGAGGAATGGTCTGTGTGAAAATGAGGAATGGAGGGCGAAGGCGGATATCTGATGCTGAGGCTGCAGCTGGGCGAAGAAGTTGGCGAAGTCCCATCAGTTTACCCTGCTCTGTTGCTGCGTACACGAGTTTGTGGTCGATGTTGGGGATTGCAGAGTCTTTCAGTCCTACAACTAGACGAAGTAGTGCATGTGGCTCGCTAGGCTTTTGTCCGAGATCTTCCAATCGTTCTTTGATGGTTGACTTAGTGAGATCCTCAATATTTGATCCCATGGTGGCTGACCAAAGGCCGACACGCAAGTCGGGGTGTGAGCATGCTTTCCAGATATCAAGTGTCTGTTCACGGAACAACGGGTCCAGGAGGACATCGGCTTCGTCCATAACCAAACTCCGCACTAGAGGTAATGTTGCCAGGGTGGTCGTTCGATTCGCAGATAGAGCATTGACTAGCATCAGAGGCGTAGTGACGAGAATATCACTTTTGGTAACCGGGATGTTGGCTCGCTCCTTTGCTGGCTTGTTTTCGGCGTCTTCATCTTCCGACCCGGATGATTCTTCGTTGTTTTCATCAAGGACATTGGCATTACCATCATCTCCAACACGCATACCCTTTCTCATCAGCGTGATTTTCACGCCAGTTCCAGCCACCAGCTTGCGGCCCTCATTGACGATCTGGCTTGCAAGCTCCCTGGTGGGCGCCACAACCAGAGACAAAATACCATGCTCGTCGGGGTTTGAGTGGTGGTGCCGGACAATTTTGTTGATCACAGGGATCAAGAATGACAGTGTTTTGCCGCTGCCGGTGGGAGCAACGACTAGAAGATCTGGCTCAGAAGTCTCTCCAAGAAGCAACGGGAGGCTTCCAAGTTGAACCTCTGTGGGCACGGTAAATCCTTGGTCTGCAACGTTTTCCGCGAGCCGCGAAGAGATCTTGTATTTCGATCGAAGCTCCTTGAAGTTAAGCAGGGGCTCTGGGAATAAGCGTCTGGCACGCTTCTGTTCCTTCTTACTGAGAATCGGCACCTCTTCTTTCTTTGACTTCTTCTTTTTCTTCTTAGAATCTTTGTTAGATGTAGCCTGAATTTGGATCTCTTCCAAGTCGCGCATGTCTGTAACCTTGATCTTGTGTGAGTTTAAGATAGTGCGACGCTCCACTTCATCCATGGAATCGTCGGCATCGGATGCGGCATCCTGAGCAGACACTTTCTCATCGTCCTCGGTCGCAGCAGCAGTTTCCGTCACGCTAGTTGCAGGGCGCTTGTTTGAACTGAAAAAGTCGAGTTCAGGGACTTCTTCCTCATCCTGTTGGACAGCAGCGCCTCTCTTTCTTTTTTTGCCATTCTTGGCAGACTCGAGCTTGTCAGTCTCCGCGGTCCGGAAGAGCTGTGGGTTGGCGGCTTTCCCAGTGGACGGCAGACGAGAGCCTGAAGCCGACGAGGTGGGCTTCAATTTTGTTGACCTGGTCAACAATCTGAACGCGTCCATTTCTTTTGTTGGTTGAGTCGAAAATGTCGTTGATATTCTGAAAAGAAAAAAAGTGGTCCGCCGACTTTCCTCCCGGGCCAATCAGCGTTGTGCGTCATATAATCACCGCCGAGGCCTGGGACAAAATACCGCGAGAAGAATAACATCGAGATATGGAATTGTCTGAACGTAATAAACATACCAGAGTAGGACTACTATTCGTGCCCAGGGGATTCGGATCATGGTTACAGCGAGAGGTTTAAGAAAGAATAAGAGAAAAACAAGTTGAGGTCAATGGAGCTTCAGATTACAATTGAGCGGACAAACGGTAGCAGTTACACTTTTGTAAAGCACAAACGGGAAATGAATTGTAGTAACAAGGTCTATCTCAGACAACAGTTTAAATTTCCATCGTCTATCATACACAGCGCGGGAAGATTAACATAGGAAAAAAAGGAAAGGACGATTCTCTTCTGTCCACATCCACTTAGTGCGCATGCGCAGGCTCGCCACGGTAACCAATAATGTTCATCCGGCCGATCATCTCACCAACAGTGAAGAAACCAATGACCTCAGCGGCAGTGACACCGGCGAGGGCCATCTGCTTAGGGCTGGCGTTGCGGATAGAAGCGAGGATAGACGAGGGGGAGGGGAGGGTCTTGAGGGCGGCAGGGTTGGTGATGAAGGGCTGGAAGTAGGACTGGAAGGTGGCCAGGTTGCTAGGAGAAATTTGTCAGATCAGGAAGTAAAGGGTCGAGTGCGGAGTCCGACTTACGGAGGAGCCATGTTCTGGCCACGGAACACCAGTCTGCCGAGCTCAATTCCAACCTTGGAATAGTAGAGAGTAGGAGGGATGATGGCTAGATTGATTGATGGTTAGCTAGGCACATTATGCAAATGTAATGCACGGATTGAAGTCAACAAGGAGGTTGAGATTGGGTGTCCACGATTCCAACCGGATCAATCGGTCAATCATTGGCTTTCTCTTTAGATAGGTACCCAATTCCTAATTCTCCATTGCACTCATCCAAGGTGTGAGAAGAAAAAAAAAAAGTAAAGAGTGTCCCTTACAATCGACGAAAGAGATGACCTTGCCGGCGGGTCCACCGATCTTGCGCAGGGCACCAGCAGCGTTTGAGATGGCAGGACCAGCGGTGGAAGAGACCTTGGACAGACCCTCAGAGGCCTTGGAGGCAGCTGAGGAAGCAGCCTCACCAGCCTTGGAGGCAGCCTCCGAGGTGGATGAGGCGTGTCTGACGACGGTTCTCCGGGTCAGGAACTGCGATTGCCGCAGGACGGCGCGGGTGGCGGCGGGCATTTTGAATACTGCGGAGGAAATGAGTGGAAAAGAAGAATTAAGCAAAATACACCCGAAGCAGTCGCTAATAGGAGGGCAGTATGATCTAATGATCTGGAGTTTCGCGCAACGGCAGAACCAGATGAAGATTTGACGCTCGGGAACTTCAGGAATTGCGGGTCACGTGAGCCGCCCCAGGTAAAACAATACACATTTCTATGAACCACATATGTATAGATTCGAAGGGGATTTAGGAGATCTATGGGTTTATTGTTTACAAATTAAAGCTCCTCTTACTCGGAGTTGTAAATTTAGAAGTGGATAGGAACCTTAGCATTTTGTTATAGCACTGGAGCATTGTACCTGCATCTAGCCCCGTCAATCGAATTATGAGTTGGAATTAGTATACTCCGTGTAGTAGAAATAAAATGATATTTTCCCGCACTTGAAGTAGGACTAATAAACATAAAGGTTTCTTTGGCTTGGGAAATGCTCTGCAAAATTAATCCGGGGAAAAAAAAGTGCATATCAAAAGTGTTGTGAGCCAATATATATAGTACAACATCCCCCTCGTTTTGTTAACAAAACTGACCGGAAAAATCTGAATTGTTATTCGGCCAAATCAGAGAAGTGATATAATAGGAAATAAAGAGATATTACGGCCGAATTTACTACGAGAAGAAAGCGGCTGGCGATATATAAGCCCTGGAGAACGAGGCTAACGAACATAGGGCTACCTACCCAGGTGGGTAAGTACAATGTATCTATATAGAGAGTAACTATTTTAGGAAATCCTGCATCATATTTAGCAGTAAATACTCCCCAATTAAGTATTTACTCTTTTATATATTTATCATCACCCTGTAGTTGTGAACCAAACGACAATAGCAGCCAGTCCAATTGATAACCTGGCTATGCCTACTCCGTACTCCGTACATAATGACCTGTCTCACCCGTGGACCCTTGGAATACTACCACATGTAAGTACGGAATAGTCGAAAATACTTACACTTCTCGTTCTACTTATGAAATATCGGCATCATGGTAGGTCTGTGAAAGAAACTATACAAAGAATGATATCCCTATAGAAAGTAAATCAAATTGTTTACACTGTTTGTTTCGGAAAAAGGCATTTTTGCTCCACTAGAAATCCAGTTGATCTCCGCCGGAGAATTCCCTCTCTTGAAATATTCCTTCTCACATGATATTCCGTTTATACCACCTTGATATATTGAATGAATTGAACCGGAAACACTTCAGATTGTTATGAACCGAATCCAAGATAACATGAAACAAGACATTGCCCAGCAAAACTAGGGTCTTCAAATGCACAATATTAACCGATAGCCGATCAATCATTTCGGCCCGAGAGAGAGCGGGTGAGGTTTGCCTAATTCAGACGGGAGAAAGCAGTTTACTCCGGTTAAAATCGAAATCTCCCCCCACTCCGCTTTTTTTTTTACTCCATATGTAGTATCAACGTGGGGTTGAACAATATGAGATCACCGGACACATATTATTTTGGGTTTGAGTATTAAAGTGGCTGTTCCCTCGCATTCATGCCTTTATTCTCCATTTTCTTCCTCTCTCCCCTTACTAAATAATGTCTTCGACCGTCACCAAGACCAACATCGGTGTTTACACCAACCCAAAACATGACCTTTGGATCGCCGAGTCTACCCCGACAGTAGAGGATATCAATGCTGGCAAGGGCCTGAAGGCTGGCGAGGTCACAATTGAGGTGCGCAGCACTGGTATTTGCGGATCCGATGTGCACTTCTGGCACGCCGGCTGCATTGGCCCAATGATCGTCACGGGCGATCATATCCTCGGTCACGAATCAGCCGGCCAGGTTATCGCTGTCGCCTCTGATGTTACCAGCCTCAAGGTCGGCGATCGCGTTGCCGTTGAACCCAACGTTATCTGTAACGCCTGCGAGCCTTGCCTGACTGGTCGCTACAACGGTTGCGAGAGTGTCGCTTTCCTCTCCACCCCGCCTGTCGATGGCCTGCTCCGACGCTACGTCAACCACCCCGCCGTCTGGTGCCACAAAATCGGTGATATGAGCTATGAGGATGGTGCTATGTTGGAGCCTCTCAGTGTGACCTTGGCGGCTGTCGAGCGCAGTGGTCTGCGTCTCGGTGACCCATTGCTTATCACCGGTGCCGGTCCTATCGGTCTGATCAGTTTGCTCAGTGCGCACGCCGCTGGTGCCTGCCCTATTGTTATCACTGACATTGACGCGGGCCGCTTGGCTTTTGCTAAGTCTCTTGTTCCTGATGTGCGCACTTATAAGGTGGAGATTGGCAAGTCGGCCGAAGAGTGTGCCGAGGGTATCATTAATGCCCTGAACGACGGTAAGGGTTCTGGCCCTGACGCCTTGCGCCCCAAGCTGGCCCTGGAGTGCACCGGTGTCGAGAGCAGTGTAAACTCCGCTATCTGGAGTGTCAAGTTCGGTGGCAAGGTGTTTGTCATCGGTGTCGGCAAGAACGAGATGACCATTCCTTTCATGCGTCTTAGCACCCAGGAGATTGACCTGCAGTACCAGTACCGCTACTGCAACACCTGGCCTCGGGCTATTCGCCTGGTTCAGAATGGCGTGATTAACTTGAGCAAGCTGGTTACTCACCGTTACTCTCTTGAGGATGCTCTCAAGGCCTTTGAGACTGCTTCTGATCCTAAGACTGGCGCCATCAAGGTGCAGATTATGAGCTCGGAGGAGGATGTCAAGGCTGCCACTGCTGGTCAGAAGTTTTAAGCGAACAGAGTGAAAAAGATGAGCGGTATTTGAGAACATCAGCGGGTTTCTGGTTGGGATCAAGAGCGGCCATTGGCGTTGACGATTTTCTTTTTTTTTATATTCATGACGAATGATGTCTAGAGGATGCCCCTAGGCGGAATAGACAGCCTATGAAATGGCTATTTTCTTTTAACACAATTTCTGGTTGAACGCGGGTAAAAAGTACTCCGTAGAGCGCAATCATTTAACGTAATAGATGCGGCCTGGGGACCTTGGAAGTCGAAAAAGACCTCCCGCGGCGCCATTCTCGGGCTTAAGCCGGGCTAAGCCGCGGGCCAAGCCGGGCCAAGCCTGGGGAAACAGGAGAAAACGACAACAAACGGGGTAAAACTTGGACCCTGCAGCATGAATATGGAGCTACTAGAGCTACTCTAGTTTCGTATAATTCCGAAATTGGATTGGTCGATCACAGCCAAGAGCGAGTATCCGATAACTGCCCGTTTCTCCGAGGAACACAGCTGATTTGACGAGGTGACAATTCTCGCACAACACTAGTGGTTTTGCAATGTGACAGAGAATTGTGAATGTAATGTTATGCAATGCTATCATGTGGTCAGCAATTGCATCTCTCTAGCATCCCCTTGATGTGTGTTGTATCACACTAATTTTGATCCGGGCCAGTGCATCCCTTAAAAGGGTCCACTGGTCCCCTTGCCAATCTGCGATCTTCAGTGTATCCTGTTGTGTTTATGCTGTGTTTGTCCTGCTGTGCATTAACGCCCACATGTTTTCAAACATGAAAGGCACGTTGTTTCTCCTGGCTCCCCTCGTGGGTGCCGCTGTCCTGGGATCGACATCCCAACTTGACAGTTGTCCCGGCTATAAAGCTTCTAATGTGAAGCAGCTGGGTCAGAAATTGACTGCCGACCTCAAGCTTGCCGGAGAAGCCTGTAATACCTATGGCACGGATCTACGGAACTTGAAGCTTCTTGTAGAGGCAGAAACTGGTATTTACAAAATCCCCATACTCCATCCCCCAGTACATATGTATACTCATCATTCTACCAGAAACCCGCCTTCATGTCATGATCTATGATGCCGACGAGGAAGTCTACCAAGTACCAACCTCTGTTCTCGCCAGACCCGAAAGCGCAAAAGGTCATCATCAAAAGGAGTCTGCCCTTCGCTTCGACTTCGAGGAGAAACCTTTCTCATTCCGAGTCCTGCGCGGGGACGAAGTGCTCTTCGATACTTCTGATACCAACATCGTCTTCCAGTCTCAGTACTTGAACTTGCGCACGTGGCTCCCCAATGATCCAAACCTGTATGGTCTGGGCGAACACAGTGATTCGCTGCGTCTGCCTACCACTAACTATACTCGTACTATCTGGAACCGTGATGCATATAGCATCCCCTCCAACTCAAACCTTTACGGCACTCATCCTATTTACGTTGATCACCGTGGAGAGAAGGGTACTCATGGTGTCTTCTTTTTGAACTCGAACGGCATGGATATCAAGATTGATAAGACCGCCGATGGCAAACAGTACCTCGAGTATAATACGCTTGGCGGAGTCCTAGACTTCTACTTCATGGCCGGTCCGACCCCCAAGGAAGTGAGCGAGCAGTACTCCGAGGTCGTTGGTCTTCCTGTCATGCAAAGCTACTGGGCTTTCGGAGTATGTTATCCCCACCTTCCAGCTTGAATTTTGAAATTATATTCTAATAAACATTCTAGTATCACAACTGCCGATATGGCTACCAGGATGTCTTTGATGTTGCCGAAGTAGTTTACAACTACAGCCGTGCTGGCATCCCACTCGAGACTATGTGGACCGACATTGACTATATGGAAGGGAGAAAAGTATTTACTCTAGACGATGAGCGGTATCCTGTCGACAAGATGCGAGAGTTGGTTTCGTATCTTCATAAGCATGACCAGCACTACATTGTCATGGTCGATCCGGCCGTCAGTAACTCTGGTAGGTGCTATAATTACCTTGTTCCCCCCACTCAATTCCGCTCTAACGGTGAGTGTGTTACTAGATAACGGTGCTTTCAATCGAGGTCATGACCAAGGTGTCTTCCTGTACCGTGACGATAAACAGAGTGAACTCTACCAAGGTAAGTTTACCAACCGAAGTGCAATACCTACCATTTCTAACAAAATATTTCCAGGTGCCGTCTGGCCCGGTCTGACCGTCTACCCAGACTGGTTCAACCACGACACGCAGAAATACTGGAACTCGGAATTCAAACGATTCTTCAGCCCAAAAGACGGCGTCGACATCGATGGTCTATGGATCGACATGAACGAAGCTTCCAACTTCTGCCCATACCCCTGCGAGGACCCAGCAAAGTACGCCGAGGAGAACGACCTACCCCCAGCACCTCCGCCAGTCCGATCTCCTCCACGCCATATCCCTGGTTTCCCAGCTGACTTCCAGCCTGGTTCTTCTTCATCTGGGGCTTCTTCGTCGCACCGTGTGAAGAGAGGCGACGCTGTCATTGAGTCACGTAGTGTCGACGAGAAACGGAGCCGCGGCAGAAAGGGAAAGAAGGTCGGCTTGCCTGGCCGAGACCTTATCAACCCACCTTATCAGATTGCGAACGAGGCTGGCTCCATTAGCAATAAGACCATCGACACCGATATCATTCATGCCGGCGAGGGTTACGCCGAGTATGACACGCACAATCTCTATGGAACCAGTAAGTGCCCTGTGTACCTTATCGGAATTTTTCTAAACACATACCTTAGTGATGAGCTCGGCTTCCCGCGAGGCAATGCTGAAGCGTCGACCCCACGTGCGACCCTTGATCATCACGCGTAGTACCTTCGCTGGAGCAGGTTCCCAGGTCGGCCACTGGTAAGATCACACAAACTTCCCAACAATATCCTACATATGTATAGATACACCTATACTAACCCTTCTCCCACAGGCTCGGCGACAATTTCAGTCAATGGGATAAATACCGCGTGTCAATTTCGCAGATGCTAGCCTTCGCCTCAATTTTCCAGATCCCAATGGTCGGCAGCGACGTCTGCGGGTTCGGCGGAAACACGACGGAAGAACTTTGCGCACGCTGGGCCATGCTCGGTGGCTTCTATCCGTTCTATCGGAATCACAACGAGTTCGCTACCATACCGCAGGAATTCTACCGCTGGCCTGTTGTGACAGAGGCTGCGAAGAAGATCATCGATATCCGATACCGTCTCCTCGATTACCTCTACACTTCTTTCCATCGCCAGACCTTGACGGGAACTCCATTCCTCCAGCCGCTTTTCTATGTCTACCCCGAGGATAGCGAGACTTTTGGTAATGAGCTGCAGTTCTTCTACGGTGATTCCATTCTCGTCTCGCCTGTCTCGGAAGAGGGCGCTACCTCTGTCGACGCCTATTTCCCCGATGATCTCTTCTACGATTGGTTTACTGGTGCTGCTGTGCAGGGCGAGGGATCTGTGAAGACGATTACTGATCTCGCTGTTACGGATATCCCGATTCATATCCGTGGTGGCAGTATCATCCCTCTCCGTACTGAAAGTGCCATGACTACCAAGGATCTGCGCAAGCGCGGTTATGAGATTCTCATTGCGCCTGATGCTGATGGGTCTGCGGAGGGTGAGCTGTATATCGATGATGGCGAATCGATTCGGCCGGATAGTGCAGCGGAGATTCAGTTCAAGTACCGGAATGGCAAGCTTAAGATCCTGGGTCAGTTTGGATATCGTCCCAATGTGATTGTTGAGGCTGTTACGGTCCTTGGACAGAAGAATGAAGCTCGTGGTGGGTATGATGCTCAGAAGCAGAGCGTTACTAAGAAGGTCCAGATTGAGTTGAAGGGGCCTAGTGAGGTGACTTTGTGAGGTTGCTAGTAGAAGTTGGCTGTGGTTGTTAAGGATTGAATGGGAAGTTGAGTTTCTTTAGAACCTGGTGGATCCATGCATGGCGGTTATCTGAACAGCCACCCATTAGGTTGAGGTGCCGAACGCCACGTTATTTTTATTTTTATTTTACTGGATGAATATTGGAAAATTTACCTAATCTATACTGTATGTACATCCATCCATGATATACCCATGGACTCCCGAGGTCTGTAAGCGAATATATTTTGTTCGGGGTAAGAATGAATGAAAATGATTGGATGAACCGACGTATCTCCCCAGCCTCATAGATAACTAAGCAGGTTGAAAATCACGTGTATAAATATGTATGTAACTACACGGTACGGAGTACACCCGGGATACATTAAATTATTAAGCGTTTCAAGGGATGCCTTGCATGACCCTGCATGGGAGAAGGCGTTAGGGAGAGACAGTGGAGAGACAATATTAACACTAAAAAAATGAAAATTTCAACTCTTTTCATCTTACCGATAATGAGTCAAGGTTAAATACTAGTTCAGATATTAACGGGCTATTATAAGGAAAAGGTCTCACTCAGCCCCAACCGTAGAAGTGTAAGATTTTGACTATTTAGATATGGGTACGGAGTACTAGCTCAGGCACAGGCCGCTAGTTCCTGAGTCATCTGATCCGTGGAGCCGTCCACGGGTCTTCGTATAAGGAAATTGCATGTTATTATTAGAGTAGTACAGTATGGAGTAGTTTAATTTTTGGGCAATTTTATGCGAGCGGGAGTTTACCGAGAACTTTGTATATATTATTGTAGGATGTATCCTAAGTAGGACCATGGCCCGCGTTTCACGATTACATGGGTATTGTCAATTTAAATAGGGTTCCTACAATAGTAGTAGGGTGTATGTAGTATAGTAGTAATGTCATGGTTGGAATTGTAATATAAAAATCGGAAAAAGAAAAGAAAATCCCAGGCTTGGCGGTCGCTTGTCAAATCTGTGCTCCGTATGTTGTACATACTAGTACAAAGTACGGAGTATATTGTACGAAGTACAGCATTACTATGGAGTATAGGTATTATTCTATTGAATTCTCTTTTATGGACCTATTAATATTGGGTGTACTGGTACGATATATACCATAACATCCTAGGTTCACCCTCGAACACCTGATCGCATCGGCTGACTATGAGAATTTTACAACCATATATTTGTATACTATATATCTAGGTGCTTTAGACTAGTAGGGACAGGGATGACCTATATACTCCAGGGCTGGTACATATAATATATAGGTACTATAATGTATTGTATGTAATAATACAATCCGTGGACCATCTCCAGCCTCATCCTTGTCTCACAACCTACACATCCAAGGGCATAAAAGCGTTAAGCTCCACTTACTTCTCCCCCTCATATAATCCACATGGGGATAATCAGATCCACTTGAACTGAACCGTCTTACCCTTTTGTCTCAGCGGCCTTGCCACTTATCCAATCATTTCCAACGGTCAATCCCGCCTCCCTTTTTTTTTTTTTAGTACAACATTAGGGTATTCTGTGGATAGATAAAGGTGGTTGCCTGCCTCTTTCTTCTATGAGTATCTTCTTTATCATCCACTCTCGTTTCCACTTTCCTCGTTACTCTTTGTATATTTAATAGGGTTGTTCCCTCTTTTGACTTCCATCACTTTTTTTTTTTTTGTTTACATTCACTTTTCTTGACGCGTATCATATCTTCTACAATGCCGTCTTTCACGAAATTTGCTGCTGCGGCTCTTGCCGTGGCTGTTCCTCTCGTTTCAGCTCAAACTTACTCTGACTGCAACCCCATGGAGAAAACATGCCCTCCGAATAAGGGTTCCACCCAGTCCAGCCTGCACTTCGACTTCACCCAGGCTAGTGGTCTTGACCAGTGGAAGATCAGTGGTGGCAATGTTCCCACCGGCTCTAATGGTGCCGAGTTCACTATCAACAAGGAGGGAGATGCTCCTACCCTCGTCAGCGACTTTTACTTCTTCTACGGTGAACTGTCCCTTGAGATGAAGACTTCTCCTGGCCAAGGCATTGTCAGCTCTGCCTTTTTGCAATCTGATTCCAAGGATGAGGTTGACTGGGTACGTGATATCTGAAAATCGGACTAATACTTTCTCCAACTATACATAGAATAATTGCTAACCCAAAATACAGGAAGCACTGGGTACAAGGACTGATACCATTGAGACCAACTACTTCGGAAAGGGCGATACTTCGACCTGGGACCGGGAGACTTGGGTCCCCGTCGCCACCCCTCATGAGACTTTCCACACCTACACCATCCAGTGGAGCAAGGACACCATTAACTGGTTGATTGATGGCGCCAATATCCGCACTCTCAACTACAATGATGCCCAGGGTGGCGCTCGCTTCCCCCAGACTCCTATGAACATCCACCTCGGTATCTGGGCCGGTGGTGCTCCTACCAACCCGGAGGGTACCATCACATGGGCTGGTGGTCTGACCGACTACTCTCAGGGCCCTTACTCTATGTACATCAAGAGCGTCACTGTGAAGAACGCTAACCCCGCCGAGTCCTACACTTGGACCGACAAGTCTGGCTCCGCCGAGAGCATCAAGTTCACCGGATCCAACGCCGTGAGCTCGCGCAGCACCACCACCGAAGCTGCCACCACCTCTTCCGAGGCTGCCACTTCCACTAAGTCTGTTTCCACCACCGAGAGCACTTCTAGCGCCGCCACCACTCTGGCTACCAAGACCTCCAGCTCCTCTTCTGCCGAGTCCACTGCCGAGTCCACTGCTGCTTCCAGCTCCGGTGCTGGCAGTGCCTCCAGCTCTGGTGCCTCCTCCAGCGGCTCTAGCACCACTGGCTCTAGCTCCGGCCCTAGCCCTAGCTCTAGCTCTGGATCTGGATCTGGCTCTAGCTCCGCCTCCAGCTCCAGCCCCAGTTCCGGCTCCCCCTCTAGCTCTGGCTCGTCCACCAGTGCCAGCGCGAGCGCCAGCCCTACTTTCAATGCAGCTGCCTCTGTTGCTGCTAGCTACTTGGGACCTGTCTCGCTCTTGGGTCTGGTCACTGCCCTGCTCCAGCTTTGAATGGGGGGTTTTTTTTGAGCGCTATGGTTTTCTGACGCATCATTAATGAAAACACGCCTTTCAGGAGGATACTGGGCTGGACCGGGTATGGTAATGGTTGACGGATGTGATTTTCTTTTTTTTTTTCTGGCTGTACCATTTTTTCTCTTCTTTTCTTCTCTTTTTATCCCTGTTCTCAAATGCTTGCAATCTCTTTAGGTTGTCCGGATGTGTTTATTGGCATAGTCCGGTAACATGGGACATTTTTCTTTTGGGCAGGCATTATGTATCTATCGGCGTCTCACATACCTTTGCCATCGAGCAAATATGCAATAATATCAAGTCAATTGACTCTATGAAGTACATGCTTCCAAATCATTTTGTATTGTAGCCTTTGATCTAGACCTTTTCATCGCTCGCTCCCTGTATGTTTCTTCGCTTTCCACTGTCATTATGTTCGTATACCCAAACCAGGCTATCTTACATGCATTTTAACATTTTAATCTTTTCGTCGTGGTCAGATCATATGCACATGGATTCCAAGAATCTAATGCCCAAGTGTTGGCTTCGGATTACATATGCATATTCGTGGACTACCTAGGTACCTAGGTATACCTCCAAGGCTGCACCTCAGCCTCTGACTAGGATAGAATCCATAAAAAGCACACTAGAAATAGATTTGGTGTGAACCGTGGATCGAGGTATTGATGGTAATGGATCTGGTTTAGATTGGTTCAACGCTTTGATGAGTTGTATTTTTTGTAGTCGGATTGGTTGATTAAATAACCATTGTATAGATGAACCATGGATGATCCAGACATGGATATCTGCCTGGCGTTCCATACTATCTCCTGCACATATATGTACCTTGGGCGTATATGCATTGTGGGTTTAATTTGTGTATGTTATCTGTATTTGTACATGGTACATAGTACAATATAAAAATGGAGAATGGTAAAAATACTGTCGTGGCTCATTATTGCTAACTCATCTCGGATAGAAAAGCCAGTCAAAAGAGAAAAGAAAATTAGTCCAACTGTGGTAACTACTCCGTACTCCGTACTGTGATACTCCTTCATACAACATTGTAAAACTTTCGGACCCTTATCAAAATCCGAACCTCCCCTCCTAGCCCCCTGTGGAGAAATAAATTCACCAAGTGGACCCGGCCCCAGTCGCACGTTGATCCCCTAATTGGCGTGATAATCGCAACACCGAGTCAGCAACGGGACGATGGTGCGTGGCAGCCACCCGAAGGAGGGCAAGAGTTGCCGCGGGCCGGGGGGTGTGTGTGGACCCGGTGGATGCGGAGGTTACGGCAGACGATGACGACTCCGTCAATGCAACCGGATTGGCATCTGCATTTCCTGACGATCGCCCCCGGAACAAATATGCCCCGAACGGTCCTAGCGGGAGCGAATCGAGCACGGCATATAGCCGATCACTGCTGCTATCGTCCGACCCAGACCCGTACTTCTGAAATGTTGGTCTCCGCCGTTCTTCGCGCGCTACGATCCCGTCTACTGCTTCGAGATGGTCGTCTAGTGTTGTGAATCGCGTGTTGAGGGAGTCTGCTTTGCTGCGAATCTGCGCCCGTAGTCGGTCTAGGTACTCTTCGCGTCGCCGCATTTGGATCGCCAGTCGTGTGTCTAGAGCTGCAGTGCCGCTTATCTCGGTCGCTGGTCGCGAGGCGAGCAGGCTCTCGATCGCTGAGCGCAGATCTGCCCGTAGGGAATCGAATTCCCATACTGCTGTTTGCACGGCCTGGTTGCTGCCGGTGAATTCGAGGTCCAGTGCGTTGCGAACGTCTGGGTAGGTTGATTTCAGTTGCGATTCTAGGTCGGCGAGCATGCTTTCGCTTTGTTTGAGGAATGTGGAGAGAGGCGTGAGAGTTTCGAGCGCGGTGTCCAATATGGATTCTAGTTGGCGCTGGGAGGTTGCAAGGGTTTCTTCTGGGGGTACTATTGCCGATGGGTGGAAGGCACTGTGTGGTGGGTATGTCGTGGGGAAGGTGATACAGCTGTTGGGGTAGAGAGTCTTGATGTGTGAAATATCGCAGAGGTCTTTGGCTTGGTAGACCAGCTCGGGAAGAACCAGCAGGTGCAGGATGATGGCGATTAAGACTGCGTTGATTACTTTGCGGATGAAGGCAGTATGGCCACGAAAGATAGACTTGGATTTCACAACTAGGCCTGCTTGTTTGGTGGTCATCTCTGTAGACGAACCAGTTTCTGCATCTCTAGCTTTAGCATCGGTCCGGTCCTGCTCTCGCTGCTTTGTACCGTTCGGAATGGAAACTTTGCGTCGTTTTCTCATGCTTTCTGAGCCTTGCTGCTTCGGGCCGCGCACATATTCCACCCATGACCCTTCTGGATTAGGTGTTTCACAGATAGAAGGCATGATCAGCTCCGGGCCTGATATTGTCCATGATGATGACGATGAGGATGTCAGTGACTCCGATGCCGGGCCGGCTGTCTTTGTGGTCGCCTTTTTGCTTTCATGCGTGGAATTTGGGGCTTTGGTGGGGTCTTCTTTTTCCTTCAAAGAAGCAGTTGATGCTATGACCCAGGATTCGCCAAGAGCCGGGCGATCTGGGATACGAGGCTGTTCTGGAGACATGGCGTAAACATCTCAGCAAGACATAGTGCACTGTGTAGAGTAGTTGGTATGTTCTGTAGTTAATATTTCACGACTCAGAATCTTACAACGCATGTTTTGAATGCAACTGGCTCAAACACACCGTTACACGCGTAAAGCGGTGGGGAAGAAAGATCGGAGAAATCGCGGCGGCCGAGGAATTGAGAATCTTCAACCATGCGCTCACTGCTTCGTCTGCGACCGTCCATAACGCCTGGCGTTAGATCGCTGCCATGGCAATTTGCACGACCGCGACCGCTGTCATACACAGCGATTCGCAATTGTTCGTGTTCTGACAAACCCGAAGCTCCAACAATACCTCCCACCGACCATCGAACTCTCGGAACTGCCCAAGAGCTCTTCACATCTTCAGTCTACAGTCCCGGATCTCCTCTGTTCCTCCCAAATGGCACACATGTTGTCAACAAGCTCATCTCCTTCCTCCGCACCCAGTACCTACAATACGGCTTCCGCGAAGTCTTAACCCCGACCATCTACAAAAAATCGCTCTGGGAGATATCGGGCCACTGGCAGAACTACAAGGATGATATGTATGAGGTAACTGGTCGAGGAGCTAGTGGTGAGGCAGAAGGTGAAGTGGGCGAAGATGAATCCTACGGATTGAAGCCAATGAACTGCCCTGGCCACTGCCTCCTCTTCAAGTCGCAAAATCACTCCTACCGCGACATGCCGGTGCGCTATGCAGACTTCAGCCCGCTGCACCGCAACGAAGTATCAGGATCGCTGACGGGTCTGACCCGAGTAAGACGTTTCCATCAGGATGATGGTCACATATTTAGTCGCCCGCAGCAGATCAAGTCGGAGATCACATCAGCGCTGGGATTTGTGGAAATGGCCATGAAGACCTTCGGACTCGGTCCATATCGATTGGTCCTGTCGACTCGACCCGAAAAGGACTATATCGGGACTTTGGAGATGTGGGATAATGCCGAGATGCAATTGCGCGAGGCTCTGGATAGCACCGGACGCGAATGGGCGTTGAATGAGGGCGATGGTGCATTTTACGGCCCTAAGATCGACATCCAGCTCCAGGATCAAGCTGGAAAATACCACCAGCTGTCTACTATTCAATTGGACATGAACCTGCCACAGCGATTTGAGCTAGAGTATCAAGTTGCAGAGGGTGAGCCAGACTACAATCCAGCCACGCCTGGTGTTGCAACCCCTGTCATGATTCACCGCGCCATCTTCGGCTCATTGGAGCGGTTTTTGGCGTTGCTGATTGAACAGCATGGTGGCCACTGGCCATTCTGGCTTTCTCCGCGCCAGGCCATCGTCCTGACAGTTAACCAGGATGAGGCTGTTGTAAGCCAGGCCAAGGAAGCGGCAGCCAAGTTCGCTGGTTTCCGCGCATTGGTGAATGATGGTACCGCCGAGCCTCCCCGTCCACTGTCCTCTACCGATTCTACATTCTTGGTTGATATTGATACCAGCGCACAAACCCTTGGCAAGAAGATCCAGCGCGCCAAACAGATGAAGTATAACCTTATCTTCATTCTCGGATCACGGGATCTGGCAGATGGTGGCATCACTGTCGATGTCACTGGGCAGATGCAGAGCAAGACAGATAAAGATGCTCAGACATTACAGACGCTCATCAAAGCTAGACTAGGCGATGATGCGCTACAGAACCCTCGAGCTGTTAAGCTTAGTGTCGACGAGGTTCATCCGCTATTGGTTGAACTCGAGAAGAATTTCGTTTAACTTTGTCTTTTGTATAACTATATATGTTGTTGTCATTTTGAGCGTGCTTGACTACACTTTATTTCTCATTTTACATCTGTTATTGTATATTAGACCGATCTTCTGCCGAATTCAAGTCCTAACTATGTACAAAGTATGGCACATCATTTAATCGAGCCACCAATGCCTGCGGCTATCCTCGGAATAGACTGCCTTAGGCAGAAATATCTCCGATGTTCGGGGTCCCCTCTGGAGACTGGGACAGTAGACGTTTGTCAGAAACAGCTGTAAAGTGAAAGTAAAGGGAGCTAAATGATACAAATTGGCACCAATAAATCTGCCAACAGTATTTCAGTCTCATCGTCAAGTCGATTGGAGATTATAGCGCCCTTAACAAGACAACAATATCACGTGACTCCGCTGTCGGCGCCGAAAACTCGGCGTCATTGACGAGCCAAGTTGAGTCAGAACATATTTCCCATTCTTCATTGGTCTCTTCTTTTTTTCTATAAAGGAATCCCCGTGTCCATATTTTGAAAGGCAGTTCTTGCTTTAATTGAATCAACTCCAAGCTTTGCTCGGTCTAACTATAACGATATCCTACATTTTTATCGTCTCTTATCCACTTGCCCCCGCGGTACCCCGCCAACACCATGCCGATGTATGTTGTTATATGACTGACTCCAATTTGGTTGTTTCTACATACTAATCTTTTGAAGGCTCAAGGATCCCTCAAAAAAGTACAAGGCTTTCAAGCCTCTGGACCTGCCAAATCGCCAATGGCCCAATAAAGTTATCGATAAGCCACCTCGCTGGCTGGCAACCGATCTGCGCGATGGCAACCAGTCTCTGCCTGACCCAATGGTATGTATGATATGATATACTAGTCATCCTTATGTTTCCCAAGCTAATTGAATTGGTTCTATAGGACGGCGAGCAAAAATACCGTTTCTTCAAGATGCTCGTAGATATCGGCTACAAAGAAATCGAAGTGTCCTTCCCGTCCGCATCTCAAACGGATTTCGACTTCACCCGCCGTCTGGTCGAAGAGCCTGGCCTCACACCCGATGATGTCGCCCTGCAGGTCCTGGCTCCTTGCCGTGAAGATCTGATCCGTCGCACAGTCGATTCCCTGAAGGGCGCCAAGAAGGCTATCCTCCACATCTACCTCGCAACGAGCCCCTGTTTCCGTCGAATCATCTTCAACATGGATCACGAAGAGAGTCTGGCGATGGCTGTCAAGTGCACAAAGTACGCCCGCTCCATTACCAAGGACGACCCCTCCCAGGCTGGCACAGATTGGCAATTCGAATTCTCCCCCGAGACTTTCTCGGATACCGAGCCCGAATTCGCCGTGAGAGTCTGCCAGGCTGTTAAGGAGGCCTGGGAGCCCACAGCGGATAAGCCCATTATCTTTAACCTGCCCGCCACGGTAGAGATGGCCACCCCCAACGTCTTCGCTGATCAGATTGAGTACTTCTGCACAAACATGACTGAGCGCGAGAAGTTCGTTGTTTCAGTCCACCCGCATAACGACCGTGGCTGCGCTGTTGCTGCAGCTGAACTGGCACAGATGGCTGGTGCCCAGCGTGTAGAGGGTACTCTGTTCGGCAACGGTGAACGTACCGGAAACGTGGACCTGGTCACTCTTGCTCTGAACCTGTACACACAAGGTGTCTCGCCAGGCGTCGACTTCTCGGATATCAACTCTGTCATCAAGGTGGTAGAGGAGAGCAATAAGATCCCCGTCAATGAGCGTTGTCCCTATGGTGGTCAGCTCGTGGTGTGCGCATTCTCCGGAAGGTTTGTTTCCTTGTTCTTCCCAGGTGGATTATGTTCATCTTTTTGCTAACCTCTTTTTAACTACAGTCACCAAGATGCAATCAAGAAGGGCTTCAAGCTGCGCGAGGATGCCGGGGGTATCGACGAGGAAACCGAATGGCAAGTCCCGTACCTGCCTCTTGACCCCCAAGATATCGGCCGCACATACGAGGCAGTCATTCGCGTCAACTCCCAGAGTGGCAAGGGTGGTGCCGCCTGGATTATCCTGCGCAGCCTGGAGCTGGATCTCCCTCGTGCGCTGCAAGTCGAATTCAGCAAGATCGTGCAGGAGAAGACCGAGTCTGTCAACCGGGAGCTGAAGCCTACTGAGATCGTCAACCTCTTCGAGGAGGCCTACCACCTCAAGTCAAACCCTCGCTTCACCCTCGTTGATTACAGTATCACCACCGACCGCTCGCAGTCTCCTGCTCCTCCCCAGCCTGGAAGGGCCCTCAACACCAAGAACCTTAAGCGTCGCTTCACCGGTATTATCGAGATCGACAACGTTCAGCATGCCATCACCGGTGTTGGTCCAGGTGCTATCTCCTCCCTGGCTACCGCACTTTCCACCCTCGGTATCGATCTCGATGTCCGTGACTATAAGGAACACTCCATTGGTCGCGGCCGTGATACCAAGGCTGCTACATACATTCAATGCACAGCAGCCGGCAGCAATCAACAGGTGTGGGGTGTTGGTATCCACCAGGATGTGGTCCAGGCCTCTCTGATTGCGCTGCTCAGCGCCGCCAGCTCGGTAAGATTTGGTCTTTGATTTGTTTGTCTTTCACCACTAACATGCGTTTAGTTCCTTGCCTCCTGCGCTGGCTCTCCTGCTCCTTTCCGTCCCATCCGCTCCAACAGCCTCACCAACGATGACATCGAGGCTCTCGAACAGCTGACCGGTGCTGAGGTTGCCACATCTAACTGTGGTCTGAGCGTCAAGGCCAACCCCGAGCAACTGATGAAAAAGGCTGGAAATATGTAAATAAATGTTTTAAAAAACAAAAGTCTAAAAGTGATAGCAATAATGTGAATACCATGATCAATTTGAATCGATTTTTTTTTTCTTCAATTACTTATGAACTATACCATCGACTTTAGCTGAATATAGTAAACTCGAGAGCCACAACAGATATCGATACGCATGTTCAGTAGTGAAAGACCAGAGACATCAGAGCTCACCACCAAGACAACCCATCCAACCATCCCCTCTTGGGTTTGAATGGAATAGGAATAGACTCACCTGTAGGTTGGATATGTGTTCTAACCCACTCACAGATTTACCTTGATCATCTGTTAGAATGAAGAGAATATTAGACTGCTTGGCAACGTCCAGAGTCATCCATAGCAGAAATCTTAGTAGTTTCATGGTAAAATGGATGATATTTGTTGAGCTTCAGAGCTGGAAGCAGCTATATACATTAGTTCTGCAGCTTTTCCAACCCATCATATAAAAA